ATTGTAGATTTAAATGTTTAAAAGAACGAGTTTCTTACAAGCACGTTTCTTAACAACCACAGCATGATTTAGAAGAATAAATCTAATACAAAGGACCCAACCTCTGGCATTACGTAATAAATGAGGTTGTTTATCCCCTATGTCCGTGGGGAGTAATAGTCAAAACATGTAGCCATACGATAACACATCTCTTAGCTAATTTAATATATTATGAACAACCAAATTATTTATCGTCGAATTAATGTGTTATTAATTAAACAATAAATATTTTGCTCAAACAATTTATCTATTGCCAATTGAAAATCTGAGAGCAACGATCAAAGTTTTACCTATTTCGGGAATAATAATGAGTTACTGTTGTGAATTCAGATCAAACTAAAAACTGCTAAAAGATAATTTTATGACCACGTAAAAACCTATTTCAGACGTAAAAACCCGGTGGTTGGAACTGTAAGAGAAGTCATCAAATTAAAATAACGACAAAATAATGCACCTAATGAGGAAGGAATAGTTATTTGTGCAACTAGTGAGAAAAGTGAGCAATTGACTCACTCGAGAGAAATCCTTACTCGCCTACGGCTCGTGAGGAATGGTTTCTCGAGTGAGGCAATTGTACTTTGAACTCGAGTTGCACATTATACTTTTCCTACAGTTTCCATAAAACAAATAAATTTGTGAAGAAACATAACCTATTTTTACACAGAAGTGAACTTTTAATATAACATTTAATGTGAAGTGACAAATACAACAGTAGCCTACAACAGCTGACCAGCTGATTTACAGCCAGTGCTGCCAACGTATTTCGCGAGCATACGACGTTGCCTGCATGTTACGCGCTCACTATTTCGTGCCTTCACGTTGCAAATCTGGAGTGAGACAAAGTAATTAGAGTGAGACAATGTTAACGAATGGCTGATGAGCGAATTGGCCACTTTGCTTGCTCAAATCAGTTAGGGAACATGTACATTGTTAGGTAACTGTAGGAAAAATAATATAACAACCTAACTGAATATATCGTTGAATCTCTGCAGGATGTTTCCTCGCGCGATTATAAATTTATTTGAGACAACATTGGAAGGAAGGAACAGCGTCTTTGAGGTTATGAAATATTGAGACCCTACTTCGTCGTTGGAAACACGGGGAACGTTTTACCAAGAGCATATTGTTCACACCACAATTAACGTTTTCATACTCAAGTTTAGTGTACCTAGTAATGCTCGATTTTCTAGTGACGATCACGGAATAAAATGTCTTCATGGTGTCTTTTGAAGAATATTTTTTTTCTGCATTGCGTTTTTGAATTTTATATCACATGTTGTTTCCAGCACCGATGTGATTCAAACGTTTTCTTCAGATCAGACCAAACAGGTTTTACAGTTTCCTCTCAGTTCTACGAGACTTCAATCAGTTAGTACGAATATTCTAGATCAACAAAATCCCTACACGCATTGATAACCGCTTTGTTTTATAATATAGAAATTAATAAATGTATTATTATTATTATTACCATAGGGGACGCCACCTGCGTATTTAAACCCAAATATGAGTGAAAGATGGGTGTAGCATGGAGTGTGATGGTCTGTGTTTATTTGTTACTGCTTAAGATCAGCTGTTACATTGGTCAGGATCATTATTGAAAGCCCAATGATCAGCTGGGACAGCAATGAAGAGCAACGGGCAGCTGGGTCCAGTTTTCAATAATCAAAAAGCTCCTGACTTATCTCAGGATCGAACCGGTGACCTTTTGATTACCATGCGAGCACTATAACCACTGAAAACCGATGGATTCTAGAAGAAAACTTTAGTTAGGAACTCTTGACAATTACGAAACATGTCGGCGTAACTGTTAACTATGGAGAGTTCCATTTAGGTTTAAATGTCTATGTCATCTTGATTTCTAATTTATTGTAAGTTTTTAACCTTTATATAACTTATATTCCTCTATAAAATGTTAAATTATTTGTAAGTTATTAAATTATAATTTTATGTTTTCGATTTTAAAAATAGGGTATCAGTACCAATTAATATGAGGGATGATTGGTAATACTTCTGACACAAAACCAACAATTGAAATCCTTTCTCAACTTGAAAATACTTCTGATAGAAATAGTTTCAATTTACCTGGGTTTACCTTTGATTGAGAGTTGAAAAATAGTTCAATGCAAAGAGTAATTTAAATTTAGAAAGAGTTTAAACTAAGCAAATATAAATGGCACGAAAAAGAATTATTTATACACCAATGTGTAACATTATATTAAATTTTTCATAAAATTGTCAACGTTTTAAAACAAAAAATCTACATATTTTCCTAGTTGGTAAACATTTTAGATTGTTGATACTTGCCTAACGTGAAATGTGAGGCTACAGCGGAGCATTGGTTGAAAATTTTCCTAGAAAAGATTTTTATCATATTATCCGTTATTGATGTGGATTTTCCTTCTTTGTATTCTGCAATCCATTATTGAGCCCCTATCGTTATACTTTCCCTACGCTTTATACTGTATTTAGAGCAAGTTACTGGACAACACAGGATTAAAGAATTAGTTCCAGTAAATATTGTTTTCAATAGAATTGAAATTAAGCTTAACTGAAAACACAAATTGATCATATAAACAACAAATTATACAACACATTATCTTTTTATGAACACCATTATGTACACATATTAATCTGAAGAGGTACTGTAATTGAAGTCTGACATTGATACTTGTATTGAGGTAGATCCAACAGCCAGCCATATCTGCAGCTGAACTAGCAATTTGCCAGAATCACGACAGACGCTATCGCAAACCAAGTCAACTGACAGTCGGACCAATCTATCCTGGCCAATCCATTTTGTAGCCAATCTAGGACGCACTAGATATACAACCAATCCTCAACAAACTCTATTATGCGTATATGAGGGTAGCGTTATATGGACACTTAATATATGTGATGTATTATTACATGGAAATAAAGAAGTATTGTTGGAGAAGATTGAGCACAACTTATTCCTAAATATAATTTTCATACTTTACAGAGTAATCTTATATTATTAGAGTGATACAGTCAAATTTGTGCGTTAAAGGTCTTTACCAAAACATGAGGCTCAGAGTCTGTAGATTAGCAAAACAGTATTGGTATGAACGAATTCCCAAAGGGGTTTGTGTATCTATTTAGTTTGTGTTGTGTATTTATTCATAAAAATTCAATTCAAAAGACAGTTTTCATCCACATCAAATCGTAATTCCGACAACATTTTGTCATAATTCTTGTACATATAATCAATTCTGAAACCCATTTTAGGCAACAATAAACGTTTGCTCTTCAGATCAGATGGAAAAGCCACATAAGATTATAAAAGAGCTGAACTATACAGAACACGTTTTGAAATCAATCACTCAGGATCAGAAGCAAACCAACTAACACCTTGACCTTTCAGACACGTTTGTTAACACATTCACTAACACATTTGGCCATGCATGTTAAAACTTTCGTTGATACTCATGAGAATATCTAGCGAGAAGTAGAGTTTTATTTTATCGCGGTTCAGCTCCCAGCTGAGAAAGGAGAGTAAACAAACCTTGCACGAGTTGTGTGGTTTGTCTCTGATTGGATATCGCAATGTTGATTCAATCGTTATTGTATTTCTTTCCAATTACGGATTTAATAATACAGTTTTCTATCCAACAACGTGCACTTGTTAAATCTTTCTCACTCTTATATTAACCCGTGAGACTTGTTAAAAAAATTGACATATAAAACTGTATGTGTCCTTTATGACCTATTGTCAAATTAAACACAAGGTGCAAGGTTAATCATGAAGTATTTTACAGCATGACGTGCTAATCAAGAAGTTTTAACTTGTTTTTAATACTATAAGATTTTTGAAATATTTAAAACTAATAACATTTGAAAATTCATATTTAATATGTCAAGTCAAATAATCCTCAGAGTGATAAAAGTGTATTAAGGTGATAAATCCTCCAAAGTACCAGTAAATAATGAATATACCTGTAAATCCTTTAGTTTCGGAACAAAAGTTGCACGACCATCAGGCACAATAACACAGTACTGTTACACAAATAGTACGGAAATACAAGAAATCAGCTGATAGTCAGACACGAACCCAGCGAATGTAGAGTCTAGACTGCAGGTGATCAGTGCGAACGTGTTAACGGTCAGCGCATTTTCCTATCTTATCACTCAAGTTTGCGTTCTTGCATTTTCCTCAACTCTCTTTCTTTTCAATCGGATCAGAAAACAAACTAGATAGAGAGTTCGTAATTTAATATATTTTGATGGTTTGATTTAATGACTTTTAAACTCAATTCCATAATGATTGTTTTAGAGTTTGTTCTAAGAAAATTTAAATTCATCGTTTAGTTCTGAGATTGATATTAAATGTTTTGCAAAATGTTTTATAAGCTTATTTTTTAGGCAAAGGTTCCTAAAATTTCCAAAATAAATGTGACGTTTGGGCAATTAAGTATTTTACCATTTAATAAAAATCAAAGCTGCTATTGGATTAACGAACATTAAAAAATAAAGAGTCATAGAAAATAATTATATGGTAGGCCTACCGAACTACATTGTTAGTGATATAAATACGTTTTAAGCAACCTGCCGGCAACACACATTTGATATATATTTCGGTCCTATAGGATTTTTAAGTCCCATTATATCGAACTTATTCGGTACTACGACATTTAAACTGAACAACCAGTGGGATAGGATTCGGTGTAGTGACCCAATTTGTTATAAATCTTATGGCACCAAAGAAATTCTAAACACTTCTTATAACCCTGAAATAGTTCGGATCCTTGGGATGTATAATTTAATATATTGGAATTTACTATGAACATTTTTTTAAATTTTTATGCTGCCGGGTGTACTAGATTGACGAAAAGTTTCTGTTTTCGCATGTTTTCAAAGGTAATCTAAAATCCGCCCTATGTTGAATAAACTATATGCTTTTTCCAATATTAACTCAAATTTTAAAGTGTACCAAGTTGACTCACCCTCAAAGTCGTTGGCGGTGAATGCTCTTGGTGGAGGTCGGATCACCCCAGGATCCCGAGGGGCGAACTCCTCGTCACCCTCCATCAGCCAGGGACTGAAACACGAAGACATGGGATGTTGGATGCACATTCGAGAATTGGAAACCCTAATTTTCAACTAAAATTGTCTATAACCCAGGCCTATAAGAAGAAAAACTACATGATGTTGACGGCCTCTATAGACTTTTCATACACCCTTTCCCATAAGCTTCGGGTTCGTGCGTATAAGAATGTATAGCAAAGCAAGGGGTGAACAGGTGCATGATGAAACAAAACTTGTACAAGTAAACGTTGTTTAGCGATAAACTTACCTAAACCTAGCAAAAATGTTACGAGTACGTTAAGATACTCGCTGATTCCGTGGATACTATCTGCACATAATCCTATTTCAGAAAAGAAACGAGAGAATACTCTTTCATTGGCTGCAAGACGGTTTGCTGTGCTTGTCGACGATATTACCTAATGTTTAATGAAGTATTAATGTTTACAGGCTAAGGTTTGTTTACTGTGACCAGTAAAACAGCCAATCTGTTATTTAAAGAGGTTGGCGGCCTCTTTTATCTTGTATTTGCTCCTCCATATTGACCACAATGGTTTGTGTGTAGAAGCACAGCCACCAGAGGTGGCTGTGGTAGAAGTTATCTAGCAAAGCAAGGGGTGAGCCGGAACAGTACAAGGATTAAAAAAAAGTCGTGGCCGGTACCAGGATCCGAAACCACGACATCGCTGCGCGAAGTCCGAGGCGTTACCGATTAATCTTAGTGTCCTTTCCTAAAATTTTGGAGGAAGCCATTTTTAAGTCCTTAGAGTAGGTACAAATTTGCCTACCGAATTTTTCTCTCACTCACCGAATAAAGGTTTTATGCGGATCGCTTTTACGTAAATACAAATGGACAATACTTAGTTTTACTTCTGGTTATTCCCAAACAATTTCCATTATTTTAAAGTGGACGAGTTTTCAGAGTGCTCTTGTCAGTTATAATTAGGTATTTCCCAAGGGAAAATGTGAATGGCTTCAACTTTATGACATGAACTTTAAGAAACTTGTTTATAAACTGTTTACTCAACACATCCTCTGAAAATACGTTATAACTTGTGGCTTTTATTTAATTTAGTCTTGTTGGATAAGGCTTATTATTTGCACATACTTTAGTCTACAACTATTACAATTCAAACCACTTTTACAATTAAATTTTTTAATAAAATTTCAAAAATTAAATACAAATATATTATTTGTACATCTTAATTACTTTACGGGTTTATTTATTGGAATAAACTTGTGAAACAGCTAGTTGTAAGTTCATTCCGTCTTTTAACATATAAAAACGTTTCCTCGAATTTTGGTAAAACCATAATGCTGGAAAATGAACCGAAGGAATGAGATCCCATATCGTGTATAAAGAAATGGATTTTCAACTAAATTATCCGAATGTATTACTAACCCTGTATTTCTATCTCCAAACCATCTTGTATCATATATTACTTTGTTAAGTTGTAAATAATTGGTTTAAGAAGAAAGCAATCCAAACAAGGATAAAACAAATGAGATTGTAACTAATTGAGTCTAGAGGCAGCCTTTAAAGCTAACATATGGCCCTTTGAGATTTAAAGGGGAGAACGCAGCCCTAGCTGATGTAGTCAGTGTATGGTCATTAACTCTGGACTGTTCAATTTGGTAACACACTGCCAAATCTTTAGTGGAGTTAAATAGTTTTAAGCTTCGTTTTTTTTTATTTTACTCTTTTTGCTTAGTTACATCATAGATCAATTAATGTTTCATGTGTATCGCTTCATTTATGGTTGCATAAAATCTTGATTTGTGTTGGCAGTTAATTTAATTGCTAAAAATCCCACCTTAGGAGTAATTTTAATTTTGGGAGTAAGAGTATGAAAAATAACATTTTATTACAACATAGATGCTTAAACGTTTTAAAATTAAACCCAAACGTAAATAATTGCATGTCTACTTAATTATTAACTTTCCGCTGAATTAACTATTTTTAACAATATACAATCTTATTACATTCCAGCTTGTGGTTAGTTAACAAACTACCTCAGATGCATATAACATATCTTGTTTATATCTTGTTAGAATTGCCCTGCAGTTAGCACGCGCTCCCGGAAACTATGAAACCAATATTAAGTCCAAGTTTGCAATGCACGCAGATGGCGTTACAAACTTGAGTAGTTCTGCCCACACAGTTTTGAGTTTGAAGTTACAAGTAGCGAAACAATCATAACGTAGGTACTACATCATCACAAACGCCTCTATGTTAACTCAGTACATTCGAGTTGTGAGGTTGAAATTACATCTGTGGCGAAACAATCATAACATTATGTACTATATCAGCAACATTACATTACATTATAGCCTAGGGGCTACATCAACACTAACACAGTTCAGTTAAACTCCATACGATTTTGAGTTTCGACATACAGATAAAATACCCTTAGTAGATTTCCCATCCTTATTGGATCAGCTGAAGACTTTATGGTTAGATCTGTGCACTGTCGAGGTCGTGTTTTGTTTACAATTTGTTGCTTGTTGTTTCAGTCATTTAAACCCTCATTTAAACCAATAAATCAATCTAACCATATATCTTTACACAATAACTCGTCTTCTAGTTATATAACCAAACAGTAAAACACAAATCATAAAAATAACCCTAAAATAATCGAAGCGAAATTTTGTCGACACTAGCGATCAGTGTCACCAGCATAAACTAGACCCTAAAAACAAGCTTCAAAATTTACAATGGGATGAGAAGTCTACTTGTGTTGGTTAGTCTATGGTTACGAGTTGAAAGTTACAACTGTGACAAACCAACAACCATAACCCAGCTGTTACAACATAAAAACTTCTCTTTATATTATCAGCTGTTAATTAAACTGTGGCAAACAATAAACAACAAAACACGAGACGATACTCATTAAACAAATAGCTATGGGAATTGAACAGCTGGCTGAATATTGAATTGATTAAACTGTTAAATTTATTAGAAAACTAGCAAAATATAGGGATTGTGTGAATTAATGATTAGGAATCGAACTTTATTTTATACATTTAAAAGTGTCATAAAAAGCCAATTATTATAAAATAACATATTTTTAAAATACAATTTTACCTTTTTTACCCTTTTATCAAACAATATGATAAAACTTAAATTGAATTCGCTAGATTGGGAGAAGCGAAAAGCACACCCATTAATCTCTTAAACCAAAGCTTTCAATATTGTAAAGCTGTCGATATAGGCGTAGTTTTCCCTTATACTCACTTGATATTCTTGGAATCATTTAACATGCACTCGTATTTTCTTATATGATTAATTGTTTTATTAAATGTTTGTAATATTGTTAATAATAGTTTTTTTTTATTTCTTTTTAATAATTATTATAATAATTTCTTTCTATAATATAATCATGAATACTGAAAAAGAAAAGTTGAACTAAATAAATGTAAAAAAACTCTGATAAACTATTACCAGGGTTTTCTAAACAATAAAGATGAATACGAATTTTCCTTGAGCTAAGAGAGAAGGCCAAACCAAAATCCCCCATTGATTGCTTCTCAATCCAGAGTTCTTGATCAACCTTGATCAACAAATAACGATAAAGTTTTCGATAAAAGATTTCCATTTCCATTGCCTTACATTGTAGTGTCAGTTATTTTGACGTACTGATACAGTTTGTAATTGAAAAAGTATATTGTACACTTTTTAACATTGCGCAAGTGGGTATTGTGAATTGAAACACAGTTAAATTTTCAAGGGTTGTAAGAAATGTTTCGTTATTATGAAGATTGAATAATGTAAATTTAATTCAACCCATTGCATACATGTAGCCATGTTAGTTTTTGCAAATTAAGTTTAGTTCACTTATATTTTTTACAAAATTAATTCTACATGTGTAAGATAAGTGTATACAATTAAAATAATGTTTTGAAATTTGTTAGTACATTTACTACTTCACCAGATAAATTATATTCTAAGACAAATAATATAATCATTTAAAGAGTGTCATTCAAACGAATTAAAATGTCTATCGTTTATTTCTGAATCAATTATTTTCTTTAAACAATTTTGTATTTGTATATAGTTAGACCAGTGTGTAAAAGTTAAGCTTTTTTTACTCTTTGCTTCTAATATTTGTCAGTAATACTTTACATTTGAGTACTGTACTTTAAATTATAAAAATGTTACCAAACTTTCCATAAACAATTTTTTTTTTTTCAACAAGTTGTTTGTCAACCATTTAACATGTAATATGATAAACTATGCATCAAGGTCTGACATTTCAACATGAAGCAATGTCAAAATGTTAACTGGATACTCAAGTATTGATTTCTGCGGTGTGTCTCCTGTTACGATGACAAGTAGAACTTAAGCAATCATGTGATTACGCTTGTAACAATCACGTGGCGAGCTACTTGTTCACGTTTTTTTTTTTAGAAGAAACAAGCAGCAATACACTGCAAAAATTATCATAAGTTAAAGCTCCTTATGAAAAAATACATACTGCGACAACACGAAATATAAAAGGCCTTCGATGTATAAAACACACTGAGTTTGAACTTAAAACAGATTTTAAGTGCTCATTAAAAAAGTGGGGGAAGGAAATCGTTTTTTTGTGATGAAATGACGAGAGTATTAGGTAATTCTGTCAAAAGTTCGGTATAAACTTTTACAAAAAAATCCAGCCTTGACACAAACGTTCTGAATAATTTATTGTTATGCTTACTTTGAATGAATCCTCGAAAATCGTGTGTTTTATTGTTAAAAGGCGCATAATTATTATTATCGACAACTATTACCAAATAAAATATAGGTGCTATTCTATTTAATTGGTCCAATTAAAGTTGTAAGTCTTCATACGGTGTTATACTCTTTGAATTCTTTTACACAAGTGAGTAAAATTTATAATTAATTTTTTTGTATATTTTCTTAATTCAAATATTATTATTTCAATTTTACTTCCGGTACAAGCTATGATTCTATTTTTCAAGTGGCTGTATGTAATTATTGTGCTAATTGCTCAGTGACAGCTGGTTTGAGTCAGT